CTAACTCAAAATCCGTTTGTCCCATGGATCAAAACATACTCATAATGAATAGTCATGGTATCTGTCTGTCATAATCACGCAGATGTGTAGATATGCGTGGTCGCAATTGGTCATAAAGTACGAAATTATGCTCCCGAATCCAATAGGAAACACTGTTTCACGGCGTGACAAAGCCGCGCCAAAATTACGTCATGATTTACATATTCATTAATACGTTGTGGGAGGAGACACTCCTTTTCTGGAAGACTCATTACCATACATTGCCCTCCATTGAAGGTCATTCTCTTGCTCAGCTGCTGAACTAATAACCGTGGCTGAACGCACCACCAGAGTCAACTACATGTAGTTTTCTTTCCAAGATTTTTGTTTTACTGCGCGAGATGTCTCGACGAAGATCTGTATTATCTGATTTGAATGGCAATGAGGGGGAGAGAAGTCACAGCGAGTGCCGAACTGAATCGGGAGATGCGATCGCTTAGGTTTAAAGTTGTCTGTCAATCGGGCGGTGAATTTTCAGTTTGTTTGCTCCGTTATTATTTTGTTGATTTGTAAAATAACCTGTTCGCCATAAATCATGTTTTCCGTTTTTTAGTTCCAAAAACTGTTGTGACAAAATTAGTGTGATGATTCTTTTTCCATCTTCAATGCGTAATACATGTACATAGTACCGGAACAACTGCTGGCGGGGACTACTGCCGGTATCTTACATTCAGTTCACTTTCTATATCATGTATAACAAATCTAACTTAATTGAATCCGTCAAATTATTCATTGAGAATGTGAAGATAAATAAAAATAAAACAGGTAAAACAAGGATGCTCACACACACGCTATTACAGCTGCTTGACTCGTGCTTTACATGTGTAGCCATGGTGTAGCCAAGTCCGGGCCCAAGTGTTTCACTTCCGACTCATTGTGGTCGTAGTCCATGACACGTAATTTGGTCACGAAAACTAAGTCTGCCATGTGCTCAAATTTTCTACCTTCTGTTTATACCTCCATGGTCTGATCAATTAAATCGTGGAAGGTACCTTCCATGATTAAATTTTCATAATAATCGCTTTACATACTGTCAACGTTCTTCTCCAAATTTCCTTGCATTCGTTTTCTTTCGTCACTATCATAGTCGACCCCAAGACGGTTTCATAGTCGACTGCTTGAAGAGCGAGAAATTCAACGAAATTAAATTTGTGGACGATCGTAAATGGAATGCGTGTAACTTGTACCTCGGACTACTAATACTTGTATTACTAGTCTGAGCTTGTACTTGAT